GAAAACAAACTTATACTTTTAGTGTTTCTCAGTAGGAAGGGTTCATTGCTTACTCACACAGAATGACACATCATACTTCCTTGTAAACCTTAATACATAATACATGTGGTAGTCTGAATGTACTTGGCCAATATAAGCTCATAGGGAATGACACTCTTAGGATATGTGGCTCTGTTTCTGTAGGTATGGAATTGATGAAGTAAGTGTGTCACTGTGGGGGTTTATATTGAGACCTTATATATACGCAAACAATGAACAGCATACTGCATTAATTCCCATTGACAGTGGGTCAGGATATACAATGCCCAGCTCCTTCTACAGCAGAATGTATGTCTGCATTCTGCCATGTTGCACTAAGATGATACTTGATAAAACATCTAAAAATAATTTTCCCTTAAAAGATTAGCCATGTACATGGTGTCTCTTCACAGTTATAGAAACCCTAAATCAATACATGTTACATTACCTTTTATAGAGGAAATATGAGAAACACTGCCAAATTTACTTTAGAGAAGATCATATTATGCATAGGCTTGTGTACTTGCTCCTCATGTTTTATTCATTTTATCATGTAACAATCATAACAACTATTTCTCTCAATGTGTTGATAGAAAAACAAATAATACTATGAATATGTATCAACAAACACCTTTTATTTTTACTTATATTTGACCCAGGTTAAATTAAAAATAGAGTGGTATTGAAAAAATTTCAATAACATACTTGGAAGATTTATAATGACTTACAACATTCTTTACAATTCAGTGGGTTGCTGGTAGTTGTAAAATTACCATAATAGGCATTATTTTAACTTCTGGAGTTGCAGACAAAGCACTAAAAGTAAATGGGCAAATACCTCAATTTAGAGATAAAGTAGTAAAATGTATCTAAATTAGAAAAATGTTCAAGAAAATGTTCATGCTGATTTCATAGGATGATTTAGTAGAGGAAAATCCCTGTAGGAATATAAACAGTATAAAATTTCTCCCACTTGCAGTTCTCTTGAAATTTAAGTAAATATGCAGACAATTTTTGAAAGTTCCCTCTTGTATAGACAACTGTCATACATTGAATATGGAGCTATTGGTACAGAATGAAATGTTTACTAGAATTTGTTTTAAAATATTCAATATATAGTATTCATTAAACTGTAGAGTATGAGTTTTAGGCTACCTAGAGCTTTCTTATAAGAGCTTGTCTCAAGCAACAGGGCAAAATTATATTCAACTGTGTGTGTGTGTGTGTGTGTGTGTGTGTGTGTGTTTGATTAAGAATATCTTATTGTCATATTCACCATGTAGTCCTAATTGGCTTGAATTCAAGGAGATTTGCCTGTCTCTGATACTACACTCAGCTATATTCATCTCTGAATATAATTTGAGAGCCACCCCTGACAGACACTAAAAATGACTTTAAGAGATAGTGTCCTGCCTCAGGACCTCTGCTGAGATTAAGCTGGAAAACTTCAATATATTTGGTCAAGGATTTCAGGATGAGTCGAGGATAATCAGAGTTGGAATTTTATTTTGAGACAGGGTTTCTCTATTTATCTTTGACTGTCCTTGAACTCAGAATGCAGATGACGTTGGTCCCAAATTCATAGATTTTTGCTTTTCACTGCTGTCCAGTTTTTGGAAAAAAGGGCGTATGCCAAATCATCCTATTACAGCTTTAAGATATTTTTACTTATTTTTTGTATCTATGTGATTCTTTATGTGTGGAATTTATGCATGTGTGTCATGGTTTGGGTGTTAATATCAGAAAACACTTTTGGGTATTTGTCTTTTAAAATTAGCATGTTTGAGACAGGGCATTTAGGATTTCTTCTGTCTGCATTTTATCTGTCCCCCAAAGCATTGGATTATAGGCATGTACTGTAGCAACTGTCCTTAGAATGCAAGAGTGAAAGGATGATTGTAGCATGAGTAGTTTATCTGTTTAACCATTTTCACAGTTCTAAAGTTTATTAAGCAGAAAATTTTGGAGTGAGTCTGTTTTGAGACACAGTCTCTTTCTAACCCTCTCTGGTCTGGAAATCATTATGTAGCAGATAGGCTAGGCCTGAAAATGCATCAGTAAAAAGAGATTTTTATCATGGATTTAGTATACATATTATTAGAAAGAATGAATTTTGTTAAAGTATGACCTTGTGAGGGCAAACCACACAAAAGCTATGGCATCACACATGACTCATCAGCATTTGAGATATCACTAAATTCGTATGGTTTTGTCTGTGTACATAGAAAATTATGTAGATTTTGTGTGGTGGTTAATACTGATTTTCAACTGGATAAGATCTATATTTAGTCAAGGGACACCTTTCCAGGCACAACTGTGAGAGCTTACCTGAATCATAATATTCTGTGTGGTATGTTTATGACACATTAACTTATATAATACATTCATTGACATGAGAACATTCTTTCCCCTTCCAGAAGTGATAGCACCATTACAGTCCATGGTATTGGTAATGGATTATAAATAAGGCCCAACATTTATCATTCTCCAGCTCCTGACTGTGAATACACTGTGTTTAATGTTAATAGTAGAATCAATATATACTAGGGTGAACGAATAGAAACTATCCTAGCTTGCTATCTGGTTAGAACACAGACTGTTTTGGAGTTTGCAGGGATTTTTCTGCCTTAATGTCTTGCCTGGCAATCTGAGACTAAAAGGCTCATGAAGAGCTGATGACTCTATAACAGATTTGAAACACATTCTTAGAGAGCCTGAGAGGACAATGCTTGCAGTGGACACGTGAAGTTCTAGTAGATTCTGGAACCACAGATATCCAAAGAAAGCTCCATGTGTGGAATACAACAGGCATGGTAGTGAAGTTGTGTGTGATATGGATGGCAAAGTATGAAACGTGGAGCTTCTAGCCCATGAGTGTCCAAAATATTATTAGAAACAGGAACATGGATTCCTGATTTGCTTCCTTAAGTGTGATAGATTACTTGATATGTACCTGCTCCTCTCTTTTATGAAATAGTGAGCAGTTACTCATATTTTTACATAATGCAGACTTTGGATACTGTAAACATTTCAAAATTTGGAATTTTATATTCTATAAGATTTCATAATTTGAAAGCATTTAATATTATGATTGACAAGTGACTTTGGGATCCATGGAGGCAACATCTTGATTGATAGGAGTATACATTAAAATTATGACTGAAATGAGTGTTTTCCTTGAAAGTTACTTTGGTTCAGGTTATTGCCCCTGCATAAGTATGGTTCTAACATTTTGTGGCTGCCTTGGTGTCCCTGTCCAACAACTGGGAGCCTTATATGGTTACAAAACAATCTCATTCAGCATCTGTATTCTTGATTATTATGAGTCCTCACTGAGGTCACAATTACAGATTCGGGAAATTCTCACTACACTGTTTCTCAAACCCTGCTAAAAGCTCCGCCATTCCAGTCACCTCTCCCTGTCTTCTTTCCCTCTGGCCTTCCTTACTCACCTGATCTTCAATGCTCACATCCCCACCTACCTCCAGTGTACCCGAAAAATCTCAATTTTATGTTCCCAATGAGATCCATGAATCTCCCCTGTAAATGGGGTTATTATTTGGTCTAAATAGAGGAAAATGCTGAGAGAGTAGTGAGCAGTATCAAGCCAAAGACACCTTTACCTCAATAGTCTCCCAGTAGAAAAGTGTGAGTTTCTGTTTCTTTCTTATTATATCCTGTCTCTGCCTGGTCATCTCACTTCCTGTCTCTGTGCAGGCATTTCACTTCCTGTTTCTGCCAGCCTTCTCACTTCCTGTCTGTCTGTACAGACCTATAGATTTCTATGTTTAGCTATTGGCAAGCTCCATCCTTTGTTCTTCAGACAAGCTTTATGTGTACAAGGAAGATATCACCACACTCCCCTAGGGCTGTTCTTGTTACTTAGCCTAACTACATCTATGGATTTTAGTGTAATTAACTGTGATCATTGGGATTGTGTTTTACTTAACTGCTGGTATTCACTTATATAAAGTGAGTTTACCAGACAGTCGAGGTGGCACATGCCTTTATTCCCAGCACTTGGGAGGCAGAGGCAGGTGGATCTCTGTGAGTTCATGACCATCCTGTTCTACAAAGAGCTAGTTACAGGACAGCCTCCAAAGCCACAGAGAAACCCTGTCTTTAAAAACCAAAAAAAAAAGTGAATTTACCATGTTTGTGTTTGTCCATGTGCTTCTGGGTTGCCTCACTCAGGATAATAAGCAACTGTTAAAGGAAATGTGATCTCTGCTACAAACAAGAGAAGAAAGTAGACAACAACAAAACAAATATTGAGATTATAGTTAAACACATCTCTAAATAGAATGCTCAGTAGAGGATTCTAAAGTAGCTGAGAAACATTTAAAGTAATGTTCACCACCCTTAGCCATCAGTGAAATCCATATCAAAACTACTTTGAATTATTTGTTGTACAGCTGTCAGGTACAAATAAATAAATAGATAAATAAATGTTTAAATTGAATTCAAGGGATAGGAGATACTTAACCATTTTATGTAGAGCAACTGTGTGGGTAAAATCTATAGAAGCATCCAATGACTAGCATAGGATGGGCATTATTTTCCTGCAGTAGGAACCAAACACTATGACTCGAAAGCTCACCTATCTCTGGTCACAGGTAATACTGTAGCCATTATTGTTAAGGTCATTATTGTTTGAAAAATAGGAAACTTAGAAATCATTGACCAACTTTGAAACTGGTAGAGTCACAGTACAGAAAGGGAGAAGCTGAATGGACGTTGATCTTTCCTCTTTCAATAGTAGTTGAGATTAGCAATGTGGAATTGGGTAATAAATTTTGGTGATCCATGATTGTCCTGATTGGCTATTTCTTAGGGTCTACATATGAGGGCAATCAAGAATCTGGATAAAGGACAGACATTATTATAAAAACAAATTGCTGTAGTTACAGAAGTTCAACCAAAATAAACCTGGGAAAACTGATGTGTCCTGCCTAACAGGATTGTTATTTTTCTTGTTTCAGATGTACAGTCTGAGAGAAAAGCTTTGAGAAATCCTTGATGTGCTCTAATAGAAATCCCTAGTCTCTGGATGGAGAAAATGGAAATTTCTTCCTTATTTATCCAAGGATTTGGTAACCACACCTCAGATTCGACTTCTCATTACCTGGCCTTGAGGGTCAGGAATAACCACACTTCAGAACAGGTCTGTTGTTATTTACAATAAGACAGCCAAGGCCAAAATTGGACATCCTGCTGTAGCGACATCTTTGACCGTTAGTTCTTATGACTTCCTGAGGGCAGTTTTGAACTATCTGCCCTTGAGCCAAGATGCAGTGTAGCCATCTCTATGGGCCCTGACCGTGCAACTTGTTTTTCTCATTTATCTGTGTTTGTCAAAAGGCAATTGTGAGTAAAGGGAGGATGTGGGTGTTCAACATTTTGCATGACTGACATCCAGACTGCTTACCCTAATTTTTAACATTTTTTTTAGTTCTTGTGATGATGCCATGACTGCTTTGCTCTGGAACTCTGGGTATAAGGTAGCCTGCTTTACTGCCTCAGCCTCTGGGAGAGCAGGGACTGCTGGATCATGGATACAGGCACCCAACTACTCAACTTTACACTGAAAAGCATGACACTTGTTAAATACTTATTAGGGCTAGGGATTGATTTTTTTCCCAACATTTTAGAGGTTTTTCCTGTATATTAGTGCGCTTGTATCTTACATCTGCTTTTGAAAGTTGGGTTTGCATCTTGGTTTGTCAGTCTGAAAATATTCCCCAAAGTGAAATATGTAACATGTAGTTTTCCTCCGCTAGCCGTTTTGGTCCCCCCCCACCCCCTGCCGCCAGCTGCTCGGGCTCTGCCACAGTTGCAGTCCCTAAATAACACACAGGAGACTATATTAATTATGAAGCTGTAGGCTGTTTGATTGTTTCTTACTGGCTAACCTATAATTGTTAAGCTAAGTATTTCTTTTACTGGGGAAAATGGTCTGGACATCTTCTCTAGTGGGCTACATTTTCTCTGCCATGTCTCTCTTTCCTAGAATCCTCCTCAACTCTTAGTCCCACCTATCTTGCTTCCCTATTGGCCAACAGTGATTTCCTGACACAGGAATTCCCCATCAGAAATATTTTTAAAATCTTTTAGGTTATTGCTTACAAAGCTCTGGTGATATCAAACATGATAAGTTTTTGATTTGTTCTGTTTTGGTGTGTAGTTTTTGAGTATCTCAGTGGACTCCTTCCTTCTTCACACAAGATTTCATGTAGTGCTGAATGGTGGTGGTGAACGCCTTTTATCCGAGCACTCAGGAGGCAGAGGCAAGTGGATCTTTGTTAGTTTGAGACAGGCCTAGTCTACAGTGCTAGTTCCAGGACAGCCTACAAAGCCACAGAGAAACCCTGTCTCAAAAAACAAAAAATAAAAACAAACAAAGATTTCATGTAGTGCACATTGATCTTGAGCTCTCTATGTAGCATAAAAGAACCTTGCTGGGTGACAAGTGTGCCGTGGTGCCTGTCGTTTTCTTGTTTGTTTGTTTTGTTTTGAGAAAGAATTTTACTACGTGGCCCAGGCTGGCCTTTAATTTCAACACTCGAGACAGAGGCAGGTGGATATCTGAGTTGGAGTACAGCAAGGGCTACAAAGACAAACTCTGTCTTAGAAAAAAATACACACACACACACACACACACACACACATTTAGCTATTTCATCTTAAGTGTACATATGAACATGCATATGCAAGTGCCCATGGAGATAAGGAGAAATTGTCATCTCTAGGAGCTGTAGTTACAGGTGGTTGAGAGCCAGCAGGGTTGGGGGATAGAAATAGAACTGTTCTCTGGAAGAACAGGAAGTGCTCCTAACATGAGTTATCATGCTAGCTGAATAGATGCTCTATTAACACCGTCTTCAGATTATTAGCATTGTTATTATTATTATTGTTGTTGTTGTTATTTGCTGCAACTTCAGGTGATGAAACATGATCCACCAAACTCAACAAAGCCACTTTGGTTTATTAGGAAAGGGAACAGAAGGAAGGCAGGGGTAGGTGTTAACCAATCAGGAGCAGAAAAGGAAAGAGACGAACAGGCAGGAGGGATTTGATTATTAAAGGAAAGGAAGTGTTTTAGAACAAGGCTCAGCAGCTAAGGTCATTTAAAGAGGATTCATGGAGCTGCCTTTGGCCCTACTTCATGTGGTCTCTGAATGCAGAGTCCTCATGTAGCCACTTAAAGCATGCATAAGGCAGCATGCAACCTTTGACAGCCTTTGCGCTGTTATCAAGGAGTGATCAGCTGTCATAGACAGATCCAGGGGAGAGGGAAGGTCGCCTGTAGAAGAGCAGAAAAGATTGATCCCAGGGCAGAGAGGACTAGAGAGGCCCATAGACCAGGAAAGTTCCCTGAGAGAAGGGACAGGCCCTGGAGAGAACTGGCATGGAGTGACAGGTGGCTACTCAGGAGAAACCACCAGGACCCGAGAAAGAGAAGAGTTGAGAGCAGGAACAGGGCCAGGTTGCCCAGGACCCAGAGAGAGGGAGAAGCCAGCATAGCAACAGTTATTATTAGGCAGTACTTCCTTTTCTGTGTGCTATTATTTCCTTTGGTACTTATAAAATATTGGAGTTATAAAAAGTTATAAAAAGCTGGGCATTGGTGATGCATACCTTTAATCCCAGTACTCAGGAAGCAGAGGCAGAAGCAGGTGGATTTCTGTCAGCTTGATGTCAGCTTGGTCTGCAGAGCCAGTTCCAGGACAGGCTCCAAAGCAATACAGAGAAACACTGCCTCAAAAATTAATAAGTAAATAATAGATAAATAAATAAAGTATCTAATAATTGCAAAGTTCTTGGTTTGATCTCATGTAGTTCACCTACAGCTGTGATGATATTGGGGATTCCTAATGCACTTGTCCTGCTATACCAAAAACATTCAGCACTGCATCATTTATAAGCAATAACAAATTCTTTTCCTGATTATGGAAGTTGAGAGTAAAAGAAAAACATTCTGAAGTATTTCCTGTCTTGTAAGGACACAGCTTTAGCTTCTGGGATTGCTCTTTATTGGCCGGTCTTTGTGATGAATATCACTGTGTCCACTGTAACAGAAGACAGAAAGGTGCAATATGGACACAGAGGCAGAAATATCAGTCTGAGATTTAAAGTTGGTATTACACAGTCTACACACAGACACACACACACACACACACACACAAGAAACTTGATAACTTGCAAGAATAGGAGCAATGAAGAATTGGGGCAATTCATAAAATCATTTCAAGTGTCTGCCACTGTCTGGCACTAAACCATGTTCAAAAATAAATGTAGCTAATCATGTGTGCACATGCCATCAATCCCATCCCCTAGAAGGAACTCAACTTTTGACAGTGGGCCACCAACTTACCATGTGACCTGAACCCATCAAGTCATAAAGTAGTACATGCATTGCAGCAATCTATTGTCATATGGATGTCATACATAAGAGAGTAGACCTGCAGGGTGTTGGTGGCACATACCTTTAATTCCAGCACTTGGGAGACAAATTCTGGCAGACCACTATGAGTTCCAGACCATCCTAGCAGACATGGGCTCAACAACATGGACTTATATGCAAGAAGTGTGACCTGGCTACTGCTGCTACTGAGTGCCAGATCAGCCAACAGCTGAGACCAACACTGAATCCCAGATATGGCTCCATTCCCTGGGGTGACTAGTCAGTAAACTAGTGGCAGGTTGATTACATTGAACCACTTCATCCATGGAGAGGACAACTCTTCCCTTCATGTAACGCTACTGCCAAAACTACCATCAGAGTATTTACAGCATGTCTTATCTACCAATATGTTTTCCACACAGAACTGCTTCTGACCTGGGAATTCACCTCACAATAAACATGGTCCAGAAACCAAGTGGTGGAAACCAGGATAAGTCCACTCAATTTAACCCCTAGTTGTCAGCTAGGAAAGTTTTGCTTCTTGTTCCTGCAACTCTAAGTTCTTGTGATCTAGAAGTTTTAGTTCCAGATGGGGAGAGTGCTCCTGCCAGCATCCACAACAAATATTCCCATAGAACTGGAAACTGAGACTTCCACCTGAGCTTCAAATGCCCCTAAACCAAAAAATTAAGAAAGGAATATCACCATCATAAGAGGTGATACATTCAGGTTACCATGGGGAAATTGGAATGACTCACATAAATAAAAGTAAGAAGAACTGTGTCAGAAATCCAGGAGATCCTTTAAGGCATCTCTTGGTGCTACTATACCCTGTGATTAAAGTTAACAGGAAACTACAGCAATCCATTCGAGGAAGGATCACAAAGGGCACATATCTATCAGGAAAGAATGTATGGGTTGCTTTTCCAGTAAAAGACCCAAGGCCTGATGAAGAGCTTATAGAGAGTAGAATTAATACCAAATGGGTAGTAGAGGAATGTACTTCTGAGGACACATGGTCATGTATAATGATATTCAATGCTATATAGGGAAAACAATATATTTATTTACCAGAGAGAGAGAGAGAGAGAGAGAGAGAGAGAGAGAGAGAGAGAGAGAGAGAGAGAGAGAGAGAGAGAGAGAGAGTTGCACAGACAAGCAGTTAGAATCGTGGCTGGCTTCCAGGAGAAAACGGGAAAGCCCCTTTTCCTTTCACTTCCTTTTATCTCTACCTTGACCCTGCCCTGTTGGGTGGATAGCTTTGTGGGGTTCATTCCTACAGTCATGAGAATTGTAGCCAACATGAGTGTTTCTGTTGTATTTTGTGAAAAGTGTATTTGTACAGATACTTGTATGTGTTAGTATTCAAGCATCTCTAGTGGCCTGCCCTTGGGTTGTGACAGTATACAGCCACTAGGAGGATCACCTGTACACATTCACTTAGTTCCCTTTCAAAAGGGCCATTCCCACCTACCACCTCTATTTTTCCCTCTCCCCCTCTCTGTATGTCCCCCTTCTCTCTCTGATTCTCTGTCCTCTCTTTCTCTACCTCTTTCTTCTGTTCTGTCATTCCTATCCCAGAGATGAGCCTTCCCTCTCCCCTTTGCACTTATGCCATTCACTTTTCCCCAATAAATGTCAAATGGCATCCTTTTCTCTCCTGACACATTCTTAAATTGCAACAATATTTTGTTTCAGTGTCCCCATCATATGCTGTAGCATCAATTAAGAAAATATCAGTGGTTATCAGGTGTACATTTGAGACACTAGGAAGATGTCCCCCAAGGGACATTGCCACTATTCTAAATATATAATACATTTGTGATTTTATGTGGGATAGTTATGCTATGTTTAGGCATAATTATTACCTGGTTATTGTTTTTCATTTGGAAATTAATCATGGCAGAAGATGATATGATTGTGTGTAAGTTGACACGAGATGGATTGTGATGTTATGCTTGGTTGCTGACTTTACTGTATCTGGAATGAAGTACAGTTTTTAAAATGGAGGACAGAGCTGTGATCTGAACATTCATGCAAGAAGATAACATGCCTTTGATCCAGATCCTGTGGCTGGATGGCACATGCCTTCACTCCAGACCTCGAGTCTGTAAGGCACGACTTTAATCTAAGTCACACCTTCTGCTTGAAGACAGCGGAAGGTTTTATGTTACTTCTTTGCTTTTCTTCCTCTTGTCAGCACATCCATTCCTTTTCTTTGTTAAGTGATCATATAAAAATTTTAAAAATCTGAGACATCGAGCCTTGTGGGCCTGAGCAACACTAGATTCTTCAGCTTTCCATTCAGTTCCTGCCGTTTTTGGACTGCAGCCTATAAGGAATTTCAATAAATTCCCCATACACACAAATGCAGATAGGTGATTGATAGATAGATATAGACAGACAGATATGATAAATAGATAATAGATACAGATAGATATATGATAGTGAGAGGATCAATAGTGATATAGATAGATATATACATACATACAGATAGATACATATATAGATGATAGATATAGATACAGAATAGATATATGATAAATGATAGATGGATAGATAGATTTATAGATGGATAGATAGATATGTGATAGATGATAAAGAGATGATAGACATAATTATATAAATGATAGATTTTGATAGATGATAGATACAGGTATGAAGATACACATAGATGGCATATGATAGATATAGATAGGTAGATAAAGATAGATGACAGACATATATAGATGGATAGATATAAACAGAGATAGTAAGATAGATAGATATAGATAATAGATAGACAGATGATAGATGGAGATAGAGAAAGAAGTTCTATTCTTAAGTTCTGTGTCTCTAGAGAATCCTAACTAATACAGTGGGATTTCCAGCTAATTAAATTTGGATACATTTAGGTCCTATTTTTGAATTCATACCATAACTACACATGAGAAACACCTTTAGCGAATACTTTATTACTACAATACACAAAATTTCAGAATATATCATTTTCTATTGAAAAAAACTAAACCATATGGGAGACAGTGAAGTGTTATTTCTGATCAAGTATTTCTACAATATCAAGAGCTACCAGATCCATGGCTAAATTGGTTATTTGTTTTTTCAAGTTGATCGATACTTGTTAATTAGTGGAAAACTACTTGTTTATTAATTTAATCTTATTGGCAATCATTTTTGAAATTTATTAGAGTTCAAAAATTAAGTAACTTGATGAGTTCAAAACTTAAGGAAACACCATCATCAAAGTTCCAGGCACCAAGGAAGGTGAAAGTAAACCCTGTCTCAATTTCTAAAGACATTATTTACAATTGTAGTTAAAGGTCTGAATGATAGAGATGGAGAGATGGTGTAGCAGTTAAGAACACTGGCTGCTCTTTCAGAGGACCAGGATTAAATTCTCAGCACACACTTGGTGATTCACAACTGTCTTTACCTACAGTTGTAGGTAACCTGACACCCTCATACAGACATGCATGCTGGCAAAACACACTTGCACATAAAATAAAAAATAATTAATATTAACGTACAGAACGAAATTGAACATCACCTTCTAAATGGAAATATCTTATTCCAGTGGCATCCTGACTCAATGGATTACCCAGAGTTATGTTTTCTCAACACTGCCACCTGCCTACATAGTTTTGTTGTTTTTTTAATGAATATGGGATATGTATAATCCTGAAAACAACAAAATAATTCAGAGAAGATGATGGATATTAAAGAAACTCCACAAGGGCTCTTGCCTCAACTGCGGACAGTATGGTGTCCAAACTGACCAAGCAGCACACAAAAGAGAGAGAGTGCCAAAACTTCCTGAGACAAGATGCGACAGTCCTTCAAAAACACTCCCTCAGAGAAAAGTCTGCGAGGTATGCTAGGACTGTAGGCCAAAGGTGGGTGAGTGGGTGTTGACTGTCCAGGCAGCCAGCAGTTTCTGTCATTTCTTACAATTTTTGGAAGTCTTTTGCTTGCACTTCCTCTTACTTGGGTAATATTATTTCTTTCTTTTGTCTTGATAGAGTAAAGGGTTTATAGGTACAGTTACAGTTTTTATTGTCATCACATTCAGAAAAGAAATTCACTTAAGAAATGTAAAATGTAGCCGGTCATTGGTGGCGCACGCCTTTAATCCTAGCATTCTGGAGGCAGAGGGAGGTGGATCTCTGTGAGTTCAAGGCCAACCTGGTCCACAGAGCTAGCTCAAGGACAGCCTCCAAAGCTACACAGAGGAACCTTGTCTTGAAAAACCAAAAAAAAAAAAAAAAAGAAATATAAGGTGGAGAGACTGAAAAGGATAGTTTTGATAATACAAGTTAGAATAGAAAGTAAATTAGCTACAACCTTTTGGTCTCAGCAAAATAAGATGGAGACTGGAGTATGTATTTCTGAATTAGTCAAATGCTGATGGGCTAGACTTTGTTGATGCATTTATTACCTGTATATATTGTATATAGTAATTGTACTTATTGCATGTAGCTTTTGATATATTAATTATAATGTTTTTATTTTAGACAAAAAATGAAAAATGTGGTGATATTTTGATTGTACTTCTTGAAGGCCTGTATTCAGAGTTCTTTGGTTGCTGGTCCAAGCCATACCACAGGCTAAATCCTTTCTATAAAAAGCTGAATGTAGAGCATTAGGAGGTCATGTTGGACATGCAGAACTTGGAGAATGAGAATACCTAGGCTTCAGAAAGGGTCAGTGAGCTGGCCCAAGAGACAGGCTTCTACTGGTAAGTACATATCTTGTCAGAGACACAAATATTGTGGAATGGTCATCTCTGCCTTTCTTTGTCACTGGAATGGAGAGTCCACAGCTCTGATTCTAAACTTTCTGCCTCTTAGCAAGAAGCTCCTGGATTTGGACTTGTAGTACTCAGTTTTTACAAGTGTGAAAGAGACTGCTAGCTCCCTGCAGCACCATATGGTCACACTCAGTAGAGTCTAGATCATTGGTTCTCCACCTTCTTAAATCTGTGACCTTCAATGCAGTTCCTTTTGTTTCAGTGAGCTCTTAGATAAGAATGTTTGTAAGTATTTCTGCTTTTACATTATGATCATGTGCAGAAATGGATTTGTTGAGTGACTAGGGAGAACACCATATGAACATTTCTGGACTCCCTAAGTAAACTCCCCATGCTTTGCTTGTTTAGAAAAAGAATTGCTTTGGAAATTACTCCCAAGGGCTCCTTGTTACCTGAGACAAGAACTGTTTCTCATTTTTTTCTGTCTTGGTTGTTGTGGTGCCTATTCTAGGTAGTCAAAATGACTTCATCTGGAATTACCTAAAACACAATGAGGTGGGGCTTTTTGTTTGTTTGGTTGTTGTTTGCTTCTTTTTGGGGATTTTTCACACAGGGTTTCTCAGTGGATATGGAGCTATTCCTGGAACTCACTTTATAGACAAGACTGGCCTTGAACTCAAAGAGATCTATCTGCCTCTGCTTCTCAGGTGCTGGAATTAAGGGTATGTACCACCACCACCCAGCAGGCATTTTCTTTTTAAAGGTTTTAAAATGGGAGCACATATCTTTAATCTATATCTTTGGAGGTGATAAAATCTACCTTTACCAGTTTGGTGTTGGTGCAGATCTTTAATTACAGCCCTCAGTAGGCGGAAGCAGTTGTGTTTCCTGAGTTTGAGGTCTTTTTCACCAGGCCTTGAGGTATGGAAAATAAAATAGAGCTGCTCCATTAAAACTAGGAAGATACTTTGGAGAGAATATAATTGTCTGAAGCCAGGACCATTGTGGAGAAGTTGCTTCAAACCCCCAAAACACAGCTTTTACCAACACATGGAGCTGTGTCTATCAGTCCCAAGGCCACTGTGGGGTTAGTCAGTAATGTGCTTGTGATTCCCTGTGTTCCCCTTGTGCTACACTGTTTGAGTAGCCATCTCTTGAGTTTGTCCCATTGCATGATATTTTCTGCTGACTTCCCAGATGTCTCCTTTTTACCTCCATTTCTACCTAGGTGTAGTATACAAAAAGCTTTCCCTCTTAAGACACTTACTTAGAATAAGACATAGCCAAAACAAGACCTCCCTTGCCCATATTTTATCTTTTATTTCTTCTGCTTTTCCTATCTTTCTCAGCTCCTTACATCTCTACCTCAGGTTCTAACAATAAAGTATAATTTGCTGATTCAAATTGCTTCTGTGCTATGAAATAAATATGGTAATCTCTTTTCTGTTGAAGTCTTTCATTTCGCTAACTGGCCTGCCTTGTAGTTTCCTGTCACTATTTAAATTTTTCAGTGTGTTACCTGAAGTTTGAACCTAAAATAACTAAAAGATGATAGCATATGTGGAATGGAAAATATGTTTTAGGAGCCAGGTGGTGGTGGTACATGCCTTTAATCCCAGCATTCAAGATGTAGAAGCAGGTGAGTCTTTCTGAGTTTGAGGCCAGCCTGGGACACAGAGACCCACAACACCCAAGGCAGTTATGCAGAAAAACCCTGTATGAAAAAAAAACAATACAAAAACAAAAAAAGTTCCCATGTTTCATGGTGTCTCTTCACAGCAATAAAAACAAAGGCAGAAGTTGGTACCAGGGACTGGGGTATTGCTATGATAGCCTGGCCCCATCCCACAATTTCTCTGATGTGTTCTCAATAGTGTGGATGTTCTTGCTTGTCTCTCCCTTTATGTCTGTTTATTGGAATATCTTCCTAAAGCCTGTATATTATTTAAAGGGCCAAGAAATGGTTCATGTGAATCTCCTATTCAGTTACTTTCTAAAGTGGCTGGGTGAACACATTGCAATGTCCATATTATGAAATAAGTGTGGGAAACCCAGAATTATCTGAAAATATTGTCAAAGAAGTACACATTTACAATGTGAGTATCACAATTCCTGCTTTACACATGTGGGTTATTTTAGGATTCACTGACGTATGATGATGTGCACATCAGCTTCACTCAGGAAGAATGGCATTTGCTGGATGCTTCCCAGAAAAGACTCTACAAGGATGTGATGCTGGAAACCTACAGGAATCTCACTGCCATAGGTGAGATAGAATTTTCCTTCATAATTTAAAATAAGGGGACAAGTACTTCTTGGTTATTGGTACTCTTCTGTAATTTTTGTTGAGAAAAGGGAAAATTATGTAAATGAGGCATAGTTGTAAGGTTTGTTGAACATATTAACTTAATTTTTTTTTACAATTTCCACTAATATATATTTTCTGGTATTAACATTTAGGCTACAGTTGGAAAGACCATGACATAGAAGAACATTGTCAAAGTTTTAGAAGAAATAGAAGGTAATTTTCATTTAAAAGTTTATGCAACTTTGCCCTTGAAGAAATTTGAATGTGTCATAGAAGGTTTAAAGAAAGCAACTGTGTAAAGAAGCACAGCATGAAGAGTAGTAATGAGTCTACATTTCTCACAAAAGAAAACATGTACCTCGGTGTCAGGTAGCCATTCTGTGTTTGTCAGGCATTCCAGTGAAAGAGAAGACAATGCCTTAACAGATACCACCATTTGCAATATATTCCCATGAGAGCTATGCTGTTGAAATGCCCATCCATTTAGTTTCATGCCACTCAGTTATCTTAAATAGTATACATGTTGAATGGGTGGTAAGTGTATGTCCAAGACCTTCTAAGAAAAAAGAGGCTTTAGTAAAGCTGGTATTGCTCATATATTTGCTAATTATATTGAAAGGTTCATTTAATGAGAGTTAAGAAGGTTATTGTGGAGAAACATTAATCCCCTACCACATGTGTGTGAGGAAAAGAAAGTCAAGCTGTGTGAATGCAATGTGGAAACCTTATATTATTCCTCCTTTAATAAGAATATAATTTCCAGCAGGTTAACCCATAGCTTTAGTCCCAGCACTTGGGAAGCAGAGGGAGGTTGATTTGGAGGCCAGCTTGGTGTACAGAGTGAGTGCCAGGACAATATCCAAAGCTCCACAGAGAAACCTGTCAAAAAACTAAGAAACAAATTCAATGTCATATGTGATTATGAATACAAGCCTTGAGAGCATAGCATATATAAACAATGGACTTTTCTCTGTCTCTCTCTCTTTCTTTCTCTCTCTGTCTGTCTCTCTCTCTGTGTCTCTCTTAGTCTTGGGACAATTGAAGCTATGGAAAATATTTAGTAGTTCCCACTTTGAAATTTGCTGAATGTGATACAAGTTTACAATTGATTGGTTTTCCAACTTCATTAGAAAGGTATCAACAAGCTCACACAGCAGAAAAGCCTTATGATTATTGGAAAGTGGGAATGCTTCTATTTGCTCAATGTATTATGACTCACACTATAGGAAATCTTATGAATGCAATAAGTATGGCAAAGTTCTGAGCTCTCATTTCTCTTCAAATATTTGAAAAATCTCATATAAAAAAGATGCCACTCAGGAGGTGGCAGGGAAACCCTGTAATCTCAGCACCCAGCGATTAGTTCTCTGTGAATTCAAGACCAGCCCGGTTGCCAAGATCAAGTTCCAGGACAGCCAAAAAAGCCTCCTAGAAACCCTGTTTGGAAAAACCATAAATAAATAAATAAATAAATAAATAAATAAATAGATGTCATAAATGTGGGCCATGAAATAAAGGCTTTTAGTATTACCTATATCTTCAAAGCCACAAAACAACCCCTCATTAGTGAAACATCATGATTGTAAAACTTAAGGACTGATTCCTATTTACAATTAGGTTAAATTATAAAATTAATTTATTTAGATATTTAGTTTCATCAGTATAGTGCATCTGGTAAAACTTGTACAAGTGTCAGTTATCTTTGTTGGAATAAAAGAATCCATACAGGAGAAAAAACTGTGAAGAAACTCAATGCGTAAAAAAACCTTTGTGTGTTACAGACATCTTCAAAGGCATGGAACAATTCATACAGGAAAGAAACCATATGAAAGTCTGCAATATGGTGAAGTCTTTGCATGCCACATTTGTCTCCGAGTCCATAAAAGAAAAAATACTGTACGGAAACCACATGAATGTAATCAATGTGGTAAAGCTTTTTCACAATACTATAAACTCCAAATACATAAAAGAACGCATACAGGAGAGAAACCCTATGAATGTGATCAATGTGGTAAAGCTTTTTCACAATGCTGCAATCTCTTAAATCATAAAAGAACACATATAGGAGTGAGGCCCTATGTATGTAATCAATGTGGTAAAGATTATTCTCAACAGGGCAGTCTTGTAAGACACAAAAGAACACATACTGGAGAGAGACGTGATCAATGTGGTAAAGCTTTTTCACAATACTGTAAACTCCAAATACATAAAAGAATACATACAGGAGAGAAACCCTATGAATGTGATCAATGTGGTAAAGCTTTTTCACAATACTGTAAACTCCAAATACATAAAAGAATACATACAGGAGAGAAACCCTATGAATGTGATCAATGTGGTAAGGCTTTTTCACAATATGGTAAACTCCAAATACATAAAAGAATACATACAGGAGAGAAACCCTATGAATGTGATCAATGTGGTAAAACTTTTTCACAATGGGGCAATCTCTTAAATCATAAAAGAACACATATAGGATTAAGGCCCTATGTATGTAATCAATGTGGTAAAGATTATTCTCAACAGGGCAGTCTTGTAAGACACAAAAGAACACATACTGGAGAGAGACCATATCAATGTGATCAATGTGATAAAGCTTTTTCACAATACTATAAACTCCAATTACATAAAAGAATGCATACCGGAGAGAAACCCTATGAATGTAATCAATGTGGTAAAGCTTTTTCACAATACTGTAAACTCCAATTACATAAAAGAATCCATACAGGAGAGAAACCCTATGAATGTGATCAATGTGGTAAGGCTTTTTCACAATATGGTAAACTCCAAATACATAAAAGAATACATACAGGAGAGAAACCCTATGAATGTGATCAATGTGGTAAAGCTTTTTCACAATGCTGCAATCTCTTAAATCATAAAAGAACACATATAGGAGTGAGGCCCTATGTATGTAATCAATGTGGTAAAGATTTTACTCAACAAGGCAGTCTTGTAAGACACAAAAGAACACATACTGGAGAGAGACCATATCAATGTGATCAATGTGATAAAGCCTTTTCACGTGTCAGTACTCTGCAAGCACATCAAAGAACACATAGTGGAGAGAAACCCTATAAATGTAATCAATGTGGTAAAGCCTTTACACAGGTCAGTGGTCTCCATTATCACAATAGAACACATACTGGAATGAATCGCTATGTATGTAATCAATGTGGTAAATCCTTTGCTCATCATGGTAGTCTATTTCGTCATAAAAGAACACATACTTGAGAGAGGCCCTGTGAATGCAACCAACATGGTATGTATCATTATTCTTTAAAAACATGAAAAACATCACACTGCAGAAAAACCCTGAAAGTGTAAGCAGTGTGGTAAAGCTGTGCACTTTTTATATCACAATAATCTTTGAGGACCTCAGAAATTTCATGCTAAAGGGAATCTTACTATAAAAGATTTGGTAAGATCTTCATCTAACATACATTTTGTTACTAGATTCTGGAGAGAAAAAATCTGACAAGTGTCAACAATCTGTTCAAGCATTATGGTGTCTCTATTAGGTTTGCACCTGCAAACTCATATGTACAAAAATCCTATAAATTCATTGATAAGATTACTCTTTTTGTTTTCACACTATTCTTTAATTGCATACAAAACCTCATTCACATCACTGGATATCTCTGAATTCAATCCTAAATGTTTGCTTTCTGTTACATGAACCAATTCATGATGAAGGGAAACTGTTAATAATACTTTTTAAATGCCTCAACACCTGGGTTATAGGCATGAGTGGTTACAAGATAATATTCAAGTTTGAAAAATCTATTTGGTTAGAGATTTGACTGAAGTTTAATTAGGAGATGTCAGTGTGTGGGTTTGTGACTGTTCATGCATGATCCCAAGAAGGTTAGACCATTAAGATTTTCTGTAGCAGAAACTGCAGAATATTCTCAAAAAAACTGACACAGCTCTTGGCGATGAACTTGTCATTATTTTGCTCATCCATATTTCTAACTGTGTTCATATGTTAAACCCTTTTTGTAGCATCTTTTTATCAGGTAATGGGGAAAAAGTCATGGAAGAGAAATCCCTATTCATGTAACCAATTTGGTAGAGAGTTTAGGTTTCACACTTGAGTTTATTTGCAATAAAATATTTTTCATGTGAAGACAAGTGTTAATGAGTTCACTAGAGCCAGGATAAATGATTAATGGGTGTTTTATTCAGGAACAAGTTACACAGATAATAAAAACCAGCCATCACATCATTCTTGCTACAGAATATTTAATCTCTGCCCTTCAGAAACCCAAGAGAGAGAGAGAGAGAGAGAGAGAGAGAGAGAGAGCCTGCCTCACTCTCCTCCTCCTCCACATCAGGCATGCAGAACCAAAGACAACACAGTACACTCCAGAAGATCCCTCCCATCTGAATGGTGGGTCCACTAGAGGTTCTGATTGGCTAGTAAGGCCTGAGTGATAGGATAAGTTGAGCAGAGGAGACAAACCACAGTGGTTTAATCTGTGCAAAGAATTCCTGTGTGGACCCAGGGGATCAGAAAACCAGAAACGATGGGATAAATCCTGAGGTGGGGGCTATTTTAGAGACAGGGTATGGACTGAGATGACTCCAGGTGAGGGTCCACCCTTGGCACTTTGAAGGCAGGGTTCGGAGCAGGGGTACCCAATATTCCAACCTAGATATAGAAGCTGGTAGGGTGTCCATATCAACAACACACACTCCAAGGGAATATGGGTGACAGTTTAAATCTGGCTTCTTGCTGATGACAAGGGATTATGTGGGAATGTGGGGAGTCAGGACTAGATGGGTTCATATTCAGCAGGAGGGAGGGGTAGAGAAGTTTTCCCTTAGCTGCAATCCTGTAGACCTTAGGCATAGGTTCTTGAGGAGGCAGAGAATGCAGGTTGGGTTAACCTTACACCATAACAGGGAGATGCAGGTGGAGAGAGGCTGCTGCAAGTCCAGGAAGTGTTTGGTAGCACTGTTCAAATCCCTGCCTTCAGTGTGCTAAGGGCAGGCCCTTCCCTGGAGTCACAAGAACACTTTAGAATCCAGCCACTGTCCTCCAGAGAATGGGAAAGGGACAATTGCTCCTAAGGAGACTGGGAATGTGGGAGGGGGCTATTAGGAAAAAAAAGGGAAGCAGAGGAGGAAGAATGAGGGCATGAGGGATCATGAAGATTGAGTCAGGGGAAGAATAGAGGACAGCAAGAAGAGACACCATAATAGAGGGAGCCATTATAGGTTAAAAGAGAAACCTGGCACTAGGGAAATCACCAGGAATCTACAAGGATGACCCTAACTAACAATCTAAGCAATAATGGAGAGGCTACCTTAAATGCCCTCCCTGATAATGAGATTGATAACTACCTTAAATGTGATACTAGAGCCTTCATCCAGTGGCTGATGTAAGAAGAGGCAGACACCCACAGCTAAACACTGAACTGAACTCCAGGGTCCAGTTGCAGAGAGGGAGGATTAATTTGCAAAGGGGTGAAGGCCATGCTGGGGAAACATACAGAAACTGTTGACTTGAGCCAGTGGGAGCTCATGGACACCATTATGACAGCGGGGAGACTGGCATAGGACCCAACCAGACACCCTGAATGTGGGTGTCATTTATGGGGGCTTAGTATTCATCCCTAATGTATGAATGAATTTCAGGAGCCCATTCCCCATAGAGGGATACTCTATCAGAATAGACATATGAGGGAGGGCCTAGTCCCTGATCCAAATGATATGAAAGACGTTGATGATCATTCATGGAAAGCATCACCCTCCCTGGGGATCCATGTGGGTGGGATATGGGAGTAGGTAATTGGCATGGGAGGATGGTAGATGGAACAGGGTTGGAAATGTAAAATATGATTGTTCCTAATGAAATAAAGCTTATAAAATAAATAAGAAAATAAATAAGAATAGGATAGATGGGATGGTAAAGACCTTAGCTAACAGTTGGTACTGCCAAAGCTCTGAAGTCCTGGAGCTACAGTGAAGATTATGGACACTGTCCTGAACCAGTCACCATCTCCCTGTGTTAGGTGGTCCTTCCATCATACTACATTGACAATTTTCATCTTTGTTGACTTTGGAATACTGAGATATCTTCTTCTATTTTATAAGTACCATTAGTACAGGCCTCTCCCACCATGCCTAGTTTAGATGGCTTCAACTTCACTTAGTAAGGCTTTAGAATGATGGGATGAGTAAAATGAGGAGTTACACTTAACTATATTCAAAATCTACTTATCTCTGCAGAATAAGGCAGAACACCTCCCAGGTCCTTTGATGAGTTATAACAGACTCAATCATAAAGAAAAATAGGCACAAAAGGCCCCAGAAGTTTATGTCTGCTTTAAAAACTGTTATGGTACTCAACTTCAACATGCTTTTGGTGCACCCAGGAAAAGCAGATTGCCAAACTTGAAAAGGCCTTGGTTCTTCAGTATTTTCTAGTGTCGTGCCAGGTTCAAAGAGCACAGAGACTAACACAAGGAGTCTACACTCTGATGCAAATGCTAATGGTTTCGTTTATTGTTAAAGCTGTCCAGTTGGATCTCTTTCCATGGCTGAAGAAATTCAATGCCCAGAAGCCCCCCCCCCAAAAAAAACAGCATATAAAGGGGCAGTCCATAAGGTTCAGCCACAAACTTCAATTTCCATGGTTGCTTAAGGTCATACAAAATACAGCGTAAAGCAGTAACTATATATTTTAAGCAAGATACATTTGAGTATGATAAGACAGGGTATGACGTTGCAGGGTTACAGGATCACAGGGTCTGTCAGTTATCTCCTGGGTCTGGGATCATTATGACTGGCAGGGGACCTTTATGACAACAATTAGCAAAGGAATATTGACAGGAGTGGTGGACAGTTACCTCCCCTTCTCCAAGAGCAGGGTCTCAAGAGCCAGAAATGGCACTCCTGATTTAAAGAGTTAAACTTTCCTCTACCATTAGAAGTTCCCTTTCTCTGTATAGATTTAGGGCCCAAGTTTTTAAACTTTTATTAATTTTAATTTTTGGTCTCCTACTAGAGGTTCAGCATTTTACATTACAAGCTTTATGTGTAAGATCAATTTATTGTTAATTTTCTAGAATTTGTAAAAGCATCCTATGTGTTGGGTAGCAGTCCACTACTAAACTGTGCCATAGAAAAGTAAAATTAGTAATACAAAGGATTTACAAATGCTTAGGGGACAGTAAGTCTCAGAAAGTAGAATTTAGCTGAGGAAAGACTGCCTGTAAAACACCCAGAAATAAGTGTTAACCAGAACTGTTAGAGTTTAGGACTCGAAGATACATATTAGTTAACTCTGATTGTCCAGACATTTGGCTCCAAACCATTCCAAAGAGTCACCCCAGATTTAAAACCATCACTGATAGCCAGCTACATATCAAACAACAGACAAGTTGCTCAAAGAGTCATTACAGGGTCACTAGAAACCATAAAGTTCCAGTTTTCTTCTTGAGAAAAGCTTAGTTCTCCTAGGTGGGCAATAGGATACCAGGTGACAACTACTTGAAACATAAAACACTATTGTATTAAGGACTTGCCTGATCATTCAAGGCTTTCATTTAGGTCCTCAGGCAGGGAAGAGGAACATTCCTGGAATAGCTAGTAACAGCCTGGTGCCTAGGTTTTGGAGCTTTCTTTAAGGGCCTGATGTATCAACAATAAAAGAAAGAGCCTTGTCTAAAATCAGGAATTTGTTTGGGAGGGCTGGTAATACTCTGGAAGAAAGCCATTATGGACAGGTTTCTTCAGATCTGGAGAACCAGACTCTTCTGACTTTGATGAGCTATTGTTATTGGTTTCAAGGCCACTTTGGGAAAAGTCAGTAATGATCTTGGGATACCCTGTGTTCCCCTTGTGTAGCACTGTTTGATTAGCCTCCTGCCTTAGTTTGTCCTGCTGAATGATATTTTCTACAGACTTCGTAGAAGTCACCCATTTTCTTCCATTTTCCCCCTGGAAGTAGTGTACAAAATGCTGTTCTTCTTAAGAAACTTACTTGGCATGGGACATATCTTGTGCAAGATCTCTCCATCCCAGCTTTTATCTTTTCTACCTTCTACATTTCCTTTCTCATCTCCACCACCTTCACCTCAGGTTCCTGTCAGTGAAGAAGAGTCTGCTGTTTCAGGTCTCTGGTGTATTTAAGAAACAATTCTGGTAATATTTTCTGTGTAAATCTAATATCTGCCAATGCTGCTGTACATACTGTCTCTTGTCTCTATTTAAATTGTTCAAAGTATAACCTGGAGCATGAGCCAAAAAGACACTTGAGGATGATAGCATATATGAAATGCAAGTGTGTCTAGGCTGTGTACTCTTTGAGTATTAGCCAGAGATCAATGCATGTTATCATTAAATATATTTTTCTTTATCAATCTCCTAAGTGTGTGAAAGGATTTCTCCCTAGTAAGGCATATTGATGCTAGAACAGCTGCATTTCCATTCTGCTAGAAAAAACTTTTCTGAGGCAAGATCTCTTATGTTGACTCAGGTGCCCTTGATTTCAGTCTGTTGCTCTCCAGGGCATTGGCCTTGATGTCTTGTGTACTACACATAAAAATTCTTAAATGAATGCACTACCTCACATGTGGGAACAAAAGACCTTGGCCAGAGGCCCACTTCCCCATCAGCCTGGGCAGTAGGCAGCTGTAAGAAAATGTTTACTAAAAACATATTTACTAAAAACATGTTTATTGAAAACAATCCAGTGCCCTAAGAAATGTTTACCTGAGCAATAAGTTCCTGATCAGGGCTCACTCATGGCAACATCCTGACTTTGATCTTTCCAATGGCTAGCTGCCTCTTCCTGACCATCCCCGCCCCCAACAACTCTGGTGTCAGGGGCATATAACCATCCCAGGTAGAAAATAAAGCGAAGCTTTTCTTGAAGCTTTCTTGAGACTTCTTGGGGCCTGCTTGAAGCTTTCTTTGTACCACCAACTGGTATCTGTGTCATCAATCCCGACACCCTCTGCACATTCTCGGACACAGGCAGTGTGAGCAGGGAATGGCAATTGGAGGTCCTACCGAGATGTGAAAGTGAGGTAAGTGGATGGGGTCATCCTTTTTGCTGGCCAGGGATGGATTGGGGAAAATAAGAAAAGAAACGATGGGGAATAGTCCAGGGAAGCT